GTTTGGACGTGTGAGACACACAAACACGTCTCGCCGTAAAACACACACCCAGTTTATCTATATGTATGTAATGTATATTTTATCACATGGAAGTGAAAAATATATATGTTTTTCTATTTTGGGCTATTAATTGTATTATAAAACTAAATTCTCCCGATAACATTTATTCTCTGGAACAGACAGAAGCAGAGAATCAAATCTTCCCAGAATGCAACCTGATTTATCCTCCCACTTTCTGTCTCTGGCAGTTCATGAGGCCTTTATGGCTGCACCTCCTTCAGGAGTCGGGACCGGTCCCAGAGCGCCTCTGCTGGACACGAACAGCTCTTCCCTCTGTGCCGCTTCTGGGAATCACCTGATGAGGCCGCTGGGTTTCGTTTTGGTGTCTAGTGTGTGACACACAGTTCTGCCACGATGTGCATATTATGACAACTAGATCTCTGCCTGAAGCTTCTTGCCCGCCTCGCTTTGCCACATTCCTCTGGAGACAAAGAAGATACTTTCTGTGGATAAATAATCAAACATGAGCAGTAATAAGGTGTCCAGCTGCCTCTAAACCTACAACACATTTACTTCCTCCAGACTGCAGACTCAGATCTCGCTGTGTGTCTATTCCTATTGTACAAAATACACTAATTGATTCTAACTTTCCTATAACAATAATAATAATAATCAGGTGATATTATGTCCATAAATGAAACCAATAAGGTCACATAAGGACACATAATGCTGGTGACCTGGTTCATTATCTTGTGGTAAAGGGCGCCATCTAGCGGCAGAGCTCAATACTTTCTTATTGTCCACCAACTGTTTCTTTCTTTTATAAAAACTGCTGATCGTTGCTCTGTCGTTGAGTTTAGTCAATTTTATTTTCAGTCCGAACTTTACCTTTAATATCGCTGGGCGTTGATTGTGGTGTTTTTATTTTGAAATCATGACCGGAAAACATATATTATTTATTTCTAGCTTGCAGGTGAAAGTGAAACTAAAATATCACACTTCGTTTGTGTAGCAGCGTTGTCAGACGGCAAAAAGAAGACACAAGCATGATGAACATCTCTACAATCTACACGCTGTGCCTGGTAGCAGCGGTCTGCTGCGGTGAAGGTGACGTCACGTTAACAGGCTCTCTGGAGTCTTTTATTCAAATGTCTCTCTGCTGTTCTCACTCCAAACACCTTCATTACAAGTGTAACTTTAACTATGCATCTAAAATAGAGTTATATGTCATTATCCATCGGGTTCTTCATGTGCCGAACTAAGCACGACATACATTCACATAATATAATGAGCGAAGCCATTTCCTGTTCATTGCATATTGTTAACTTTAACATAAGTCTTGTTAAATGAAGGTTCATACAAGGGAATCTGGTGTGACGCGTTCAGGGCATCAGCGCCCCCTCGTGGCTGGAAATGTTACCGCGCAGCATCGAGAGGGGAGAGAGATAATCAATACACCGAGATCACTTTAAAGAGTACACAGCTACACAGTTCCAGTGATAATAATAATAATAATCACATCCTTTAGTGTAATGTGATGATATTGCTGTTCCTGATACCGATCCTTTCTTGGTCCACAGCCTGCAGCAGCTGTCCCGTGTTGGAGTGCTGGTTTGTGCAGGAGAAGACGGGTCGAGGAGGAGGTCTCGCTGCAGCTACGACCCTGGAGAAATCCCTTCTGCACATCCAAACCGACCCCCACCCTGCAGAGAGCCAGCAGGCTCCACCCGACATCCACCCCGACAGAGTTTACCTCATCACCGGTCAGTTCGGGTGACACGCAGAGCAGCATGTGTGTACATGTGGGAGAGAGAGAGTGTGTGTGTCTGTGTGTAGTTATCTGTTAACCTTCAAAGTCAATCGGAGAGCGTTTAATAGTTATGCTACACAAACGCACCGATCATGTGTATTTGTGGATAGAAGATACCTTTCTTGTTTATTATCCCATCAATATTTGGAAATATGAGTCCAATGTTGCTTAATTACACCATTCTTTTCCTCCAGACTTGAACTTGAATTTCTCAGCCAGGAATTTGGTAAATGATTAGGAAGGAATCAGGAAAGGAAAAATCTATCAGTATCCGTACACATTTTTTAAGCAGGCGTAGTATTAATCTCCCTCTTTACATTACATTACATTACATGTCATTTAGCTGACGCTTTTATCCAAAGCGACGTACAATAAGTGCATTCAACCATAGGGTACAAGGGTCTTTAGATTCTCTGTTTTTATAAAGTAGCAATAGTTTGAGTATCTGTAAACCTGCTGTTAACCACAACAACCTCCTCAGACCCAGCCGGCACTCTCTGCCACCGCTCTCTCAACCCTCCCAGAGGCTCGGTGGAGAAGCCTCAGTGTGAGATCAACCCCTTCCTGCCGCAGCCCTCCACCCTCAAGTGGGCATCTCCACTCACAGACTCCGCCTCCAGCCCCATCTACCTGCAGGCCGATTGGTTCTCCACTGCCCTCCAGGGCCTCAGCGGACAGCTGGCCGTCTCCACCATCACTCGTGCTCCCACGGCAACCAAAGAGCACCGAGGTAACGACTCATGACCCAGGAGACCAGTCCAAAAGACGATTTCTGTTCCGCACACTCAAAATGTAATCGACTCTTTGTCTCCTCAGTGGTCCTGAGTGTGACCACTACAACCGTCTCCGTGCAGTCCAGACTCGGGGGGCCAGTGCTGCTGGATTGCGGCTCTGGGCCGACCCCTCGTC